GCACCAAGCTACTATTTTACGCTGGTATTCTGTGATAGAAAAACTCATTAACTGATATTTTTTGGCCCAACCCGGGATTCAAAACTGGGACCACATGAACAGCAGTGGCACTTCTAGAACCACTAGACCAACGAGGAAGTCACACCACTTCACAGTTAATAAAAACACAAATAAATATTATTATAATTTGATATCACCATATTCGTCAGCACATAAACAGTTTTACGTGATAGAGTCGTCTTGACTTGCGGATAGATCACGCTGTTGGTTTTAGACCATTTTAAAAGAGGATGATTCTTAATAGAGTAGAAATAGAAATAGAAATAGAAACTTTTTTATTCATGTAGACCATAAAAATACTTATTGGTCACTTTTTTATTACCCTGTTCGCAAAAAAACCTCTGTCCTGGGAAGAACCAGCAAGAAACGGGGACTATTTTTTTTTTCATTTTGGTGATGAGTTAGATGTAAATGTCTGTGGGCCACAGCAACCACTTACTATCAGGTAGATAGTGTACATGTTTGTTACCCTAATTCTATAAAGGAAAATGAGAAGGAATACGATTCGACTTCATGTTTTTATGTATGTAATATTACACGATATAGAACGAAACTTCCCAGTGGGAAGTTATTGTAATGGGTCCGATTTTGCAAATTGGAAATATTAACATATCTCCACGTTTCAAGGTCTTTAGAGTCGAATAGTACGGTTTTTAAGGGGATGTCCGTGTGTGCACATGTACTATGTATGTTTGTATGTATGTATGTATGTATATATGCTTAGATTCAATTTCGCCACGTGTATCTCGAGAAAAAAGAGTGATGTGTGTGGATGGTGAACAAAGAGTGACATGGGACCAGTTTCATTTAACGCATAATTATGTAACTTAGACCTCATTAAATTTTGAGCAAAATCGATCAAATCGTTTTTTGTGCCGAATGAAAAATTGTATAAAATATTAAAACGTATGATATTTTTTTATTCTTTACACTGGAAAGTTAGTCGTGTGGACCTTTCGGGTCGCAGCTAGATTGCTTTTATTATATTTTTATTAAATAGGTTCTACTTAAGGGTTGGTCTCATATAAATTGATCGTAGAAAAACGGCTTCCCTAAGGCCTTTGCTACATAGGGAATGAAGTTTTTAATGTAACTATTTAGACAATATTGAAATGTTTTCCTAAGTTCGCTCAAAAGGTTAAAAAAATAACTTTTAACAACATGTTTAAGCTGACTTCAAATAAGTAAAATAATAAAATTTCTTCATATACCTGCGTACTAAAATGAAGGCTGTAATTATTTTATACCCCATGTCTTAGCGCCGGTTTCAGAAACTCAATTTGTTTTAATTCTCTTTAGTTCCTTGAAGTAGAATGATGATGTTAAAAGATGTAGCTGTTTATTTGCCACAACATCCACTTGTCTTCGGACATATCGTGTGCTCATTTTTACATGTATGAAAAAGTCTAATGCAAGAGATAAGTATCTCCAAATGTAGTAAGGACTTGTCCGTTTTATACAAGTTATGGTTGCCTGTATCTTTGGCCTAGTGGTCGTTAACGTGGCTGCTGGTCATGGGGTCTGATTTTTTGGTGGTTTTTTTTTTGGTAGGTTTACTGGCTCAACGTTGGTCCTGCGACTGATCTCTGTACAGTCGTGTCGAATTGTGTTCCCATCGGACTATGAGAGTGAGGAGTTGATGAGTGCACCTGTATTTGCACACACACAAGAATCTGTCTAGATAAGTATCATTTTCATTTTCTTACCTATTTCTGTTTATGGACAATAGTGTCGTTGTTCTAGTTTAAAATAATAAAAGACCATACGACCGACTATAAAGCTTTCCATCTGAGCCATCAAGAATCATACATAGAAATTAGGAGCATTAAGTCAGATGAATCTGTAAAAGCTAAAAGGCTAACATCACTAACATCTCAGATCAATGAAGATTCCACATAAAATATTTTATATATCAATTTACATTTTCATAAGTTTAGAACTACAAGCTTTCTAACAGTGTAGCTGACCCTGTAACTTCAAGTAAAGAAGCCACAACAGTACAGCTACGTACAGCACACATGGAGTTAAAACAAAATGCCTTGGAGTCTGTAATTATACTGTTTATTTCGGTTTAAATGTCTTTTTTTATGTTATATTGGGGGGGAAGGGGTTATAAACATAAATTGCACAAAGACAAACATTCAGACCCGGAAAAAAATATTCGTAGGCTATACAAATAATTGTACCGTGTAGGATTCGAACACGCGGCCCTTAGCGCCGCAACTGTATGCTAAGTTACTGCGCCACGTAACTGATAAAAAATATCTCACTGTCTGTCGGGAACACAGCACTAGTCGTTCTGTAGATTTTCAGGAGAAACCACAAACCAACCTGGGAACTAACGCAGATGGCAATAAGTTTATAAAAATTGCGGCCTTACAGACCGTGATTGTGGAATCCCAGCTATAAAAGCCAACTGGAAACAACACTTACATTACAGAATAGGCATCTAGGCAAAAAAAGGAGTCCGTCTACCTGGAAAAATTCATTGTTGCATCGCAGCAACAAAGTTGGCGAGGCCACAAATATCCCTCCTATGAGGCAACCCATGGGGGAGGCCTGTGCTCAGCAGTGGACATAAAGACAATATAATTGTACTCAAACAGTATTCAACTTGAATCGATATTTGTATTAGTTTCACTATTCGACGCTATGACAGAGTAAGTATAAGATGACTGTAATTTATAACATTTAAAAAATAAATTAATATGGTTTATTTTTCATAACTAGTTCTATTTCTTGTTCTTTTTTATAATTAAAAGTCATAAACATGTTTTTGAGTAAACTAATCGCCATTTTAACATTATGTAAAAAGAAGTAATAAAATGTCATTTATTTATGCGGACTATTTATGGTGCGTTAGGGTGTTACCACACCAATCGATCGGTCGATTGGTGTGGTAACGGTGAAATGGATTAGTCGATGTCGATCGATAATGTCTACCACACCAATCGATTGATAGCATCGAGTGATGGTAGAATGAATTGCTTGATGTCAATCGAGCTGCTTGGTTATTCGAGAACTCGCTCGCTCAACCGACCGGGTTTTTGAAAGATACTAACGATAAGCTGAGCTGAGCTGATCGATGATTGAACGATGTTTTATGGAACAGTATCTAATCGATTGATATCGATAGATTGGTGAATCCTTGTGTTATGTATCCTTGGATAAAAATTGTAAATATCTTAAAGTGATGGCGCAAAGGAATCGATCCCTCTTTGTTGTCCCGTGAGCTTCACAAGAAGTGATTATAGCAAATGCTTAAGATTTTGTGGCTCTCGACATATGGCAGGGCGACTTATTGAAACCTTTTAAACCGGCTAAGGGAAGCGACACCAAAGGAACATCTGTAACTAATCATCGATCCTTTCCCTTGACGGCTCCGTGGCGAAGTACCTTTGCAATGAATTGGGGCGCTGAGGGCCGAGGATTCGAATCCCGCTCGGAACAAATATTTGTATGACTACAAATAATTGTTGTGTGTCTAATGTCTATGTTAGTTCATAAGAAATTTATGTATGTAAAATGCGTCCACGATACAGGAGAAATTCTAGTATCTTAAAAAATTATATGCGAATACATTAAGTGGCGCATAATAGTAAATATTTTTAAATAATTAAGAAATGTATTATATATACATGAACGTATATACCAACATGCGTTGGGGCAGCGTGGCGGACACTTCCTTGCCTTAAAACCCTCTGAGAAAGGAGCGGAATCCTTTGCCCAGCAGTGGTACGTATATAGGCTGTAACTGTTTTAACTCTAAGAAATGTTTGTTTCCAAAGGAAATAAATTTAATAAAATAACAATAGTCGTTCACCAAATTTTTAAAAATTCGTAGTGGATCTACACCATGAAGTGACCACTAAACAGTTACTGTGGTGTGGTTAGTGTACGGGCAACTTCTCCTAAAAAAATCGAACTGTGAAGTATTTAAGACAAATTTCCCCAGGACTGGATTAATCGATGTCCGACGATTGGCTTTTTGACAGGCTTATGAATAAGAAAGTTATAATCAAATGTAACTGAGAAGTAGTAACACGCATATTCAGCGCACAAATAAACCCATTCATATAGTTCAAAAAGATAGTTCAAAAGAACAAAAAAATATTTGCATACATAGTCGTATAAAATATTATAAAAAACATAATCATAAACACTTACGCCTGTCACCCAGAGGGGTAGGCAGAGACTACAGACTTCCATTTGGCACGATCCTGATATCTCGCTTCCTCCACATTCATATACCTATGCATACATGCTCGTCGGTTAAGCATACTCCTAATTTGGCCCATTTTCAATATATCACCGATTTGGTCATGGTCAACCAACAACTCATACATTGTTGGTTTGGTTATAAAGATATTATATTATATTATAAATATTGTATTTTTAATTATTTTAAAAAGTCTTATTGGGTTTCTTGGTGGTTCTTCGAAGGACAGTGGTTTTTTCCCGAATCAGTGGTAAAGCTTAAACGGCTTTAAGCAAGTATTCTCGTAATCTATATTCAATAAAAATAATTTTATTAAATTCTAAAGAACCTATGTCATTTGGCCTATAAACAGGAATTCTTCTGAGCATCCCTGTTTATAATATTCTCTGTCACATTTCCAGTTATTAGTAATTAAAATTAAATAAATACATAAATTAGCATTGTTTTATTAGACGGGTTCCTAAATTGATTGCCAAGTCGTTATGTAGATGATCCGAAACAAACAAGTGGTTGTGAATTTTGTGTTTTTTAAATAGGAACTTCGGGTATCTCTGAGTTGAATAATACTGCCCGCTTTGCTCTCTTTCTTTGTGTTCGTACAAACAGGTCTAGCCATCGGATCCGTGAAGCGTACATAAACTGATATATAAAGTTGAAGACGCGCTTAGAAGTCATACTCACTCCATTCGTCAGCACAGCAACATACAGTACAGCACTCAAAATGAAATACTTCGTAAGTGTTTTATGTTTATTATATACTGTTAGATATCTTGTTATAATGTGATTAGTGCGTGTGTGATTGTTTTGTTAAACAAATCTTCTCTGATTTGGTTATACTTTGCGAATTTTTCTCATCATTGATTCCATTCAATAAGTTGATTACATAAGCTTTATAATTATAATATCCTAAAGACCGAATTTCGGTCACGACGGGCTGTCTCAGTGGAGACCAGTAAACATCGCAGGATAAGATTATAGTGCTCTCTCCCTATTCCCTCACTCTCATAGTCCGCTCGGATAGTAATTCGACTCGACCGGAGGGAGGTCAGGCACAGGACGAATGGCTTTAGGTGCTTTCCGAGGCACTATTGATGATTTTATGAATAGAATAAATGTATGCAATAGTGTACAATAATAGACGTTTATCATGCGATTAGTTAGTGTGCAGTAGTAGTATACAACCAGCACCTAATCCAGTTAGTAAAGAAATACCAAAATCTCTTTAGTTTCCGGATATATTGAACTTTGCAATAAAATGTTTATCAATTTTCTAACTCCAACGTACTCTTTATTGAGACGCGGCTTGTTTGAAGTATACGTTACAATGTTTTTGTAATTCAATTTCCTTTCTTAATCCACTTTTGTTTAATATAAGCTTTTGTAAAATTGTCTTAAAACTTAACATATTTGTCTATTTCGGGCATTGTGATGTATAGAATTCTATACACCGGAGTTGAAAGTACTCATCATGATCAAATTTATAAAAATTAAAGCCTACTTTACGCTGGTATTCTGGGAATGTGATACAAAATCCAAATAAAAACAAGATAACATTAATAAAAACTATTTTATAAATGGAAACGGAAATGTTCTTTATTATGGACGCGGTTTTTAACAAGCAACATTTTCATATTCTAATCTAAGGGGGAAAACCCTTTTAAGTAAAAAAAAGTAGAGTCTCACTGCTCGGCACAGGCCTCCTCTCTCCTGAGGGTTAAGGAGCAATAAATGTCTTGTATCCCTGAAATTACTGATGCACTAGAACAGTTTTTTAATTAACTTTGAATTTACAGATTTGCATCTTACTTGTCGCCCTCATTGCTGCCGCGTCAGCCGGCTACATCGGCTCAGGCTGGTCTGCACCTTCCTACGGATACTCTGTACCAATTGTGTACTCACGAGGCTGGGGCAGCCCCTACTACAGCAACGGCTACTCTGGTTACTCTGGATGGGGCAACAACGGCTGGGGCAACAACGCCTGGGGCAACAACGGATGGGGCAACAACGGCTGGGGCTACAGCAGTTGGTAAAAGGGAGAAAGCAGTGGGCCAAATGAATATAAAATACAGGAGTTATAATTAAGGTTTAACACAGCTATACATGAAATTGAGAAAAAAATGATTAAATCTAATATAATAACAAAATGAAATGGCTTTCTATGATTATCGTACAAAATGCCATACCTTTGCCTATTAACGTGATAATTTAAAACTATAATGAAAGAGTGCTTTCTTTTTACTGCACCATACTGTTTACAAACATCTATTCAAGTAATTTTGTACTACTCCTTCAAAGTTAACTCATTGAACTATAAATTGTAAATAAACTATTCAATTTAACACGAACTTAATAAATGTTTTACACGTACACACGAGATATTTCATTTGCATTGTTTTGGTTTACTGGTGTCACTGAATTTGAATGACAGGGTGAGAATTTGTGTGATATGAAGAAAGTGTGAATTACAAGATGATGTTGGGACCAGGTTTAAGAAAGGAATGCTTCGGTAGTTAGTTAATATATAAAGAATGAACGAAGAAAGAGTGAGGATGCCAATTTATGTTCCAGAAATGAACGGTAGAGTCGAGACGCAATAGACGAATGTTGTTTCCAAATGTTTTCCTATTAATTGTATAAGATATAATATTGTAAATTGTGTTTTTTTTTTAATTCTCGCCGGTTTCTTTCTGATTCATTCTAGGACAGAGGTTTTTTCCTAACCAGTGATAGAGCTTAAATTACTTTCAATGAGTATTCTTGTATTATATGTTGGATAAAATTAAAAAAAAAGAGGTTTATCGACAAAATTGGCGATATATTGAAGATGTGGCAGATTTAGAGTACCTTTAAACGAAGAACATGTATGCGTAGGTACATGGATGTAATGGAGGCGAGAAAGGAGTGTGATGTTCGTGTCAAATGTAAGTCCTTAGTCTCTATCTACCCCTCTGGGTGACAGGTGTGAGTGTTTATGATATGATAATGATTATCGTTTATCTAGGATAAAGAAATAAATAATATTTATTCGTAGCCAGCACAAAATTTACCACAATACATTCAAGACAAAAAAGACAAATAAAATAAAATTATATTGGGCTGTCGCTAGGAAATGGTGACACCTTGGGTGAAACCCACGAGTCATAAGGCGTACGTATTTCCGTTAATTTTTTATTATATTTATACCTATATATGTACCCGTGTGAACATTCGAAAATATAATTTTCAATAATTTGCATTTATAATATTATTTTTTTATAAATTAAAATAATAATAATAATATGATTAATTTAAAACAGCCATGTAGAAAAATATCAATAACTATATAACGACCAAATCAAACTTTAAATACGTTTATTCATTTAACGTTGAAATATAATACAATATTGCGTATCGTGCGTATATGTGGAAAATATAACGAATTTTCTAAAAACATACCTGGCATTGACATATTTAACGACTCTTGTATTGCATTCAAAATTAAACTTAAAAATCATTTATCGTCGAGTTCCTGATATAAATTACATCTTTAATATAATATATCCTATACTTAAATTAAAAAAATATACATACTCCTGAAGAGAGTATAATATCTACCATATTCCCTTTTAATAATTAAACCTGTTTTTTATCTTTAGATTTTTCTTATTTAAGTACATATTTTATTTGAATAGTTCTAATTTACATTGTATTGATAGGATGATATTTGTACTCCAAATTAATCCAAAATTGCACGACTCAACCTGTGAATGTTATGTACACTTGTTATTGATATACATATCAGAGAGTATAGAAATGTGTATGTTTTCGTGATTTTCATATATGTGTATTGTAAGTGTACTTGTTAAATAAAAAAATACTAAAAAAACTATAGTAAAAAACTAAAATTATCATACACTCTTACTCCCCTTGGTATCGTGCCAAGAAAGCTGGCTGCGTTTCCTCGCTGAATGTTTCGCTTATAATGTACTTAGCCTTCAAGTGAGAAAAGACCCAGCGCTTTTATAGTTTAGTAAATTAACAAATTTACAGTATAGTAAATAAACAAATTAGAGTTAAAAATAGATCTGATTAATATGTTAGTTATGTAATAACATGTTTAAATGTATTCGTAGAGGCGAAGATTAGCAGTTTCTTCCCGATAGTAAATGAATAAAAATAAAAAAATGAAAAAACTTGAAATCCCTGCTTGCCAACCGCATATTATATCACATTTTGGCATGTTATATCCCCTCAATGTGAGTAATAAATAGCCCACAATCCTTGTCATGTGAATAGCGGGCAGCGAGTGTGAAAAGTACCGGCGAAGCTTTAGTTAACAATAATGACAGTTTGACTTGGCAGAAGAGAATATTGTAATGCTGAAGAAATAGATAAGTCGCACTCCAACTCTATATAATTATCTCAAGTCCGAAGACAGAGGGAGGACATTGAAATCCTCCATACCGTCATTACAAGATATCGAATTTAACGTCGACAAGTCGCACAATTAATATATTACCCACAAAGGCACTCGTTAACAAAACACTATATGAGATGTGGCATGGTATAAAGCCAAAAATTTATAATTTCAAAATATTTGACTCAACTGCTTAAGTGCACAATAAAACAATGAAAGGTAAATTTGATGAAAAATGTCGTTGTTTTGAACGTTTCGATCATACTCTTAAATATATAGGTTTTAAGAATTATGGAGTTGACCCATGTTTTCATTCATTAAATAAAAATTCTATAGATGAATGTATATGTATATATATATATATATATATATATATATATATATATATATATATATATTAATTTAAAATGACCCCTTTATTTATATATCCTAACCTCTTCTTTATGAAAAAATAAACTAAACCTCTATTAAAAAAAAAAAAAAATTAAAAATATATATATTTATTAACCTCATTAAATATTAACACCATTTAAAATTTTACTTTCAAAAAAAATATACAAAAAATTTTTTAATTATAATTTATTATATTAATATAATAAATATTTTTTTATTTAATTATTTTTTTTTTTTATTATTATATATATTATATTTATAATTATATTTTTTTTAATGTTATAATAGTAGACTCTAGTGAGCTGCGGCCACATGTATACGATCAAAATTGTACCATCTTAAATTTGTAATGTGTGTCTTATTTATTTGTGTGTGTGTGTGTATGTATTTTTATGTTTGTGTGTGTGTGTGTATACGTATTGTTTTGTAAGTAGTTGATTTAGTGATTGTTACTAAAAATAAGAATACTAAAAATTATATAATTATTTTATGCAAAAATTTGAAATGAATTATCTAATTGAAATAAAAAAAAATTCTGGGAAAAAGAACTGAGAGAATCTAGCACACAATAACTTTAGATCAAACTTTGTATCTTAAAAATGTTTCAAATAAATTGTTCATGAGCAACTCTACTGATCACCTTTAACATCCAAACTTACCTATTCCAACCTGAACTTTGATAACAATTATGATGCGCTATGCAGATATGTTACTGGATGCCTAATGTATGCGATGATTTATGCGACCAGATACTTGTGCAACTATAAGCATATTAAGTAAAAGTGTAAATAATGAGGTTTAATGGAAATGTTTCAAACATCTTTTAAGATACATAAAAGGAACATTAAATTTTAAGTTAAGATACATAAGATGTACTTTTAATCAAATTTTTATTGGATATGAAGACTCTGACTGACGAGGCGATGAAACGCATAGAAAAAGTACGACCGGATATTTGTTAATAAATAATTTGTAATTAATTGTACTGTTTCTTGGCACACGCGAAAGCAAAACACTGTCGCTGTCTCGTCAACAGAAGCTGAATAAATGGCTTTATTTGAAGCTGTGAAAGAAGCAGTATGTATAAAATCGTTGCTTCGAAGTGTTATGCTTGTAATAAATGAACCTGTAGTTATCTATGAATATAATACTAGCTGTATTTCTATCGCTAATAATCCGTCTGGCCATAAGAAAATCAAACATATAGATGTTAAGTATCACTTCACGAGGGAACAAATAATATCATAAAAAGTTAAACCATGTTTCCACATCAAATTAAGTGTCTGATATATTTTCAAAAATTGTACCAGCTGCTAAGTTCCAAGAAATAAGACGTTTTGACCGTACTGTAGTGCGGTCAGAACGGACTAACCGCAGTTTACTTTATTGGTAATATATTATCAGTAATACTTCTTTCTATCTTCTGCTTTAGTTTTCCTCTGTCGGATCTTTCGACACCCACGAGATAATATACCTTTCTTACGCCGCCATTATATGGCAAGATTATCTCTTAAAATAAAATTTAATTAAAATTGTTTAATAGATAGCTCCGTCCCACCTTTATTCGTAGCACGGACATGAACAGAACATGTGAATGTTAGGTTTTTACCGTTATCGTTACAGCCTATCAAAACTTCACTGCTGACCATAGGCCTCCACCATGGATTACATCACAGGAGAGATATTTGCCATAGTTGCCACGCTTGGCAGGCGGGTTGACAACCGCAGTATTTCTAGTTTTAGTTGTTATTAGGAAAACGTTTCAGCCCATCTCCTGGTCTGTTGCCTCTCTTGCCTTGTAGGAGACCCCTGGGACGATGTGGTGCAGTGCATATTCTCACGACGCCACGGCACGGTCAATTGTTAGGGTTTGCGGTAGTGAAATAGACAGTTAAATTAGGCGAGCCTGTATTCTTAGCGTCAGCTCGTAACCAACACAAAAGATGACGCATCGTATCGTTATTGTTCTTTTGAATTGTCACTATGAGGTTCATGCCAAAAGAAACTTAATACTTTTAAATTATGATATCTGTTATTTATTACTAGTATTCATGTTTTCAACGGTTTTACCTTGAGAACGTATAAAAATAATAAGAAGCAAATGTGTCGGGTTTTTATGAACCGTGTATTGTTTCTATTGAATAAAGGTGACAAACAAGCACACAGGTCATCTGATGGTAAGAAGATAATGTGGCCCATAGAAATTTACATCTATCATCGATTGAGAATCCAAATGCAGAT